CTTCCCTCCTTCCTTTCTTTCTTTCTTTTCTCCTATCTTCTTTCTCTCTCTTTCTTTCTCTCTTTCTTTCTGTCTTGCATTTGCAACCCCCACAAAACAGCATATTCAAATATATCTTGAAACATCAAACAAATTAACATATAGAGAGAGCTGTCAATAGGTTGAATAGGTCAATATCTATATCATTTAAGCTCTAAGCCCGTTTTTTTATTCATGGAAGTGATTGATACACATCGCATCAATAACTGTACTGATAAACATCACTTAAAGGCAACTGTTATGTGACAGATATCGCGATCGATATTTTTAACTGCAAATCACATTAAACAGGAAATGCCGGCATGTAGTACTTCTGTTTGATAGTCCTTCTGTACCATCTTCACTTTTACACTGTAAAAAAAAAAAAAAAAAAAAAAAATCAAAAATTGTTGTGAGTACCATTTTTATTATACTTTTACACTGTATACAAAAAAATTAAAAAGTTTTTTTTAATCGTTTAAGAGCAAATATAAACATTAAGCGGGGTATTACCAGCAGATAGAATAGTATTTCTGTTTGTCAGTACCATCTATTAGTCTTTTATTGCATACAAAAAAAATCCGCTTAAACGGTTGTAAGTAACTTCGGTTTTACACTGTGACAAAAATTTTTTAAATTGTTTTAGAGTAATTAACATTAAGCAAGGAAATGCAGGCATATAGTACTTCTGTTTGTCAGTACCTTCTTTAGGTTTACACTGTATTCTCAACTTTCACATCCCCATAATCCTTTGCGTCTTTGGTGGGTAACCAGAGGGTAAAAACCCACTTATTTTGCTGAAGGCTGATCAGACAATGTTGAAAATACCTTGTTTGGTATCCAAAGATAAAATAAAGAAGTAAAAAACAGAAAAAGATAGAAGCTTGAAGACGTTTAAGGTGGCTCGACCCCCTCACGCTTGACCGCTACCTTCCACTTTTGGAACACTAGTGCATAAACGTCTTTTATCCGATTGCAAATCTTTTTTGCACATAAGTCACATAAAGATTGAATAAATGTTTGATGCAGTTTTTTATGAGATCGGACGTCATAACACGTGATTATGATGAAATATTTGATTTCGTTTAGAAAACAATTTTAGCCTTGCAGAGCGTTCAACACTAAAATGCTTCGTACCACATAATTATATACTGGATGCCTCCATTTGTGGGGATTTTTGAAAAAATCTATCTAGCTAATAACGAGATATTTGAGATTATTTAAATATAGTGCATAATCTACTTCAAARCTAAACAATGGATTTCATACGGCCGGAATTAATATTTCAGAGCTATATATTCACAAAAGTCATTGCTCATTTAGTTTTACTCTGTATCTAGTTTTAAAAGGAACATTTTGAAGGTAATCGACTTATGCGATTTTGTGAAAACGTATAGTGCAGAAGACGGGGTAAACATTTGATGCGCACTTTTCATCGCAGTTTTCTAGTCAATCTTACTAGATCTTCCATAAACTAATATTACATGTAACTAATATTACATAGTTTAAGTTCTAATTTGTATCCTGACGTA